CAGCATTAGGCTCATGGAAGAGAAGTGAACAATCCCATAACTTGGGAATATCGTCCAACCCCTTTTCTCTCTCTCTTCCAAGGAGTTCTTCTATTTATTGTGTTCCACTGATACAAGATCTAGAAAGCTGTTTGAGAATACAGTAGAAGAGAAGTGAACAATCCCATAACTTGGGAATATCGTCCAACCCCTTTTCTCTCTCTCTTCCAAGGAGTTCTTCTATTTCTTGTGTTCCACTGATCAGGCATTAGCACTACCATTCAGTTTCAGCAGTTCAGGTGGGGACTCAGACTAAGTACTACATTGATTATAATATTGCTACCATGTTTGAGGTATGTATATTCAGTATCCACTCGGAATGGTCGTCGGTCCATTCTGGGTTCTAGTGCCCTAATCTACCCACTAGAGTGTGCACATGGTCCGATATTAGTTTGTGCCGGCAGATTGCAGTATTAGTTTGTGCCGACAGATGTTCAGTTATCAGTTACGTGACTTATGTCGCGAGATCAGACCGGTATCAGATATCAGATATCAGTTTCAGTTTCAATTTCAGTTCAGTTATATATGCTAAGATCATGATATTGTTATTATTTTCAATGTTTACATTAGTATGAGTTTCTGCGGAGCACAAGTGTTTTAGTGCTCACGCCCCAACGCATTTCATGTTTTTTCAGGTCGCAGGGTCGGGGACGAGGAGTGAGGTGGCGGGCAGTTCAGGATCTTTTGTGGATATGTATATATATGTTTTGACACGCTGTTATTTCCGCTAAACTTTCAGTACTTTTAAACAGGTTTTGATCCGACTCTAGTTGGTTAATATATTATAACCGTTTTTATTTATCAGTTTAAAATTTAACGGTTTTTAGAAAAAATTATGTTTTTCACGGTAGCATCCCGAATCAGTTTTCGCAAAATAAATATTTTATTTATTTATTCAGAAAATTTCGAAAAACGCGTACTCTGATTTCAGTAAAAAGTCGGGATTTTACAATTGGTATCAGAGCACGTTTCTGCGTCTCTGAAATGTTTTTCAGTCAGTAATTTTCAGAAAAACCTGAACCGTCACGCTCAGGCCTCGCCGACTACAGGTAAGTGCTGATTCAGTTTTCAGTTATAAACATATTACTTTTTCTATGCTCAGAAATCAGTAATCAGACATAGTTAAGATGCTCGAATCAAATTCAGATTTTAGAGTTCAGATATAACTCTAGAATTCAGTATATTCAGGCATGACTTTAGAAATCAGTATACTCAGACATGACTCTAGAATTAAGTATCTTTTGATATGACTCTAGAGTTCCTCAGGATTCATGTCAGTATTTATCGGCCACTTTTGGCGACTCGTCAAGAGATTTGTGTGCCTAAGTAATCAGTCAGAATATTATCACGTGTTCAATAATGTCAAACTTTCTCAATGTTCA